TCTGTATGCTCAAGTTTATTTATAGTTGGTGGTCACTTCTGGGAGCCGTAATATACAAATTACAATAAAGTCAGAGCCACCGGTCACCTGGGCAGCCCTGCAGCTCTGTGCAGGTCCTGGCAATCACACCCGAGGCCCTGATGGCCCTGCACTAGACTTCTCAGCTCTACTCCCACCCTAATCCATTACCAGCTCAATGTATAACGGTGTGAACACACACACACGATGTTAATATTCAATATGGGTTCAAACTAGACAGCAACACTTCGCAATTTGCTTTTTTCCACCCACTGTCTTTAAGATCTTTCCCATGGAGTCATCTATACAAAAGGTCTTTGCCTCATGACCCTCTCTGGTTACATTCCTAAGATGAGGTTACTAGGTCAGGTGACATAGTGAAGACCCACACATATTGCCAAGTTGCTTTTTAGCAAGGCTAAGCCATTTTTCACTCCCACCAATGATGCTTCTCTGCCCACAGCCTCCAACACTGGCTCTTGCTTAGCTGAGGCAGAAAGTTTTACTTCTTTGGTTACTAATGAAGCATCTCTTTTTACACACTGCATATTATCACTTATCTTTGTCAATTTCCTATTCTTGTTTTATCTCCAGTTATTTTCCTATTAACTTTAATTTTTAAGTTTCATGTACTCCAATCTGTTTTATGATCACCGGGACTACGTCAGCTTAGAAATAGCTTTCTTATCCTATTATACAATTCTGTACCTAGATTTTCTCCCAGTACAGGTTTTCATCTTTATTCTTTTCCAGCATCATGTATCAAATAGCCTACCTTTTTCCAGAATGTCAAAGGGACCTACTTTCTTTTTTAAAAGTAATTCATGTGCATGGTAAGAAAATAAAATAGTACCAAAAACAAAAAGTTGCTTCACCTATACTGGTCCCTTGCTGCAAGTATTCTGAAACTTTACTGGTCTTGCTCAGAGTCTTCCTGCTTTACTCTGCATTTATCTCATTATCATAAAACTAGAAGGAACTGGAGTACAGATGCCATAAAGAATTCAACATAAGATAAAATCTATTATTTGCTATCTTAATAACCATGACTCAACAACCTTTACAGTGATTTGAAGGTATTTAAGAGCCTCAAAACCCAACCAAACTCACAGCCACCGAGTCGATTTCCTCTCTACAGAAGATTACCTTGTTTTCCTTCCGCAGAGTGGCTGGTGGGTTTGACCCACCAATCTTCCGGTTAGCAGAAAAATGCCTTAGGTATTGCAATTAAATTAAGTACAAGTCTGAGTAATCTATATGTCTGGCCTAAGTAAATGATAATTTTGATGTACTCAAATAACACCTGTCTTAGTGTTAAGTTACCCAAAATTACTAAATTTCTTTCTCTAAGTAAACAGAACTTTACCTAATTTTCTATCCATCAAAATAATGGTTATTCTCTCATTTGGTAGATACCAGTTTATAACAACAAACAGCTCAAATACAAGGCTTTATTTTTATTTCTTTATTAACAAAATAATTATAATTTTTGAAGCAAAAGTTTAAAAATATTCTGTTTTCATGTTAATGGAGGTTAGGCCATTCAAAAGACAAAGCAAAGAGTTAACTTTAAGTCATGGTCCAGCATTATTATATGAGAAATAAAAACATGGTTTATGGTATTAAGTAAAGACAGCCAAAGTAAACTGCATTTCAAATCTGTTTATATAAAAGCATATTAAAGATCACTTTAAAATAGTGTCCATCTTTTAAATGGGCATAGACTCATCTGCAATTGCATATATAAATATAGTAAACTCGACCCATTAGCTTTCTTAATTGTTTTAATACAAATACAATTCCTTTCTTCTTTATGCAATCCAACAAAATAATATAAAGTGAAGGCATTAGAAAAATATGGATCTTTCTCAATCTATATTGTATTTTTAATTAAAACTGGAAAATACATTTTAGATCATATGAAACACGGATTTAGGTATATCTGTTATCTGTACCTAGCAGATTATTAGATGTGGTTTTTATTTTGGCTGCAATGCAAAAATATGATTAGTTATAAAATACTTTCCACTGATAGCAGTACTAGTCTGAGAACAAAATGTAAGCTGAATATATTTGTAAATCACTTGTCTATTCAATGCCCAAATTATGAAGATTAATTTTAAGCCCTTAATATACAGTTACTGAATGGAAATCTCGTATGCTGACAATATTTAAACAATCTTGTAAACATAGTCAGAATCTGCTTTCTAATTTACTTGCTAAAATTCAAGTAAACGTTGCATATTTGATTTAAACTAACTTTACACTTAAGAAACATTAGATTATAACCACTAAGTATGTAAAAAGATTAAAAAAAAAATGCAAAACTGAAAGTAAGTGCTGTAAACGTGTTCATTTTAATAACTAATATAGCATAGCTGCTCTTTGGTTTGGCTTAGTAATACTGGTCAGATGCATCCGGTATGGACTACTCAAGTACACTTGTACCTATGTAAACCATGTCTCTTACTTTGTTTTTAATGGCAATGGCAAGACCTGAAATTCAACTTTATTTCTCTTGAATGGACTCACAAATGTTCAAGTGCTGAAGGACAAAAGACAGTATTTTATGAACTCTGACAGGGCTTCAGTTTGACCTTTTCTCCTCAAATAGTTGATGGCAATGAACACTATCAGTTGAAATACCAAAGAGGCAGCCTTTCTCTGTCTCTTTTACCATGTGCAGGGCCCCTGGCTGAATGGGCATTAACATGCATGAACAAACTCAGCCAAGTATTACTTAGAATTCGGCAAATTGTTGGCCCTAAACGAAATCAAACATAACTAACATAAAAGGCTTTAACTGAAAAAGTTTTAAAAGGTGTTCACTATCTATGCTATTAAAGATGATGTTAACTAATAGAAACTAAAAGAATTGAGATATATTACAATACCACAGAAGTGCCCGAAAAGCTTAAGGGGGTACTCAGTTTCCTCAGTTGTTAACCAAGTGCATGGCAGTCTTCTAACTTGTAGAAGCACACAAAAATACCAGGAGGACATTTCTGATTGTTGTTGTTGTTGTTGTTGTTATGTGCTGTCGAGTCAAACCCGACTCATAGCGACCCCTCCTTGGGTTTCTGAGGCAGTATCGCTATGGAAGTAGGACTGCCCAACCTTCCTTCAGAGGAGTGGCTGGTGGGTTTGAACCGCCAGCCTCCTGGTTAGCAGGCAAGTGTCTTAGCCACTATGCTACCAAAGCTCCCACATTTCTGATAGTAGTCAAGTAAGTTTAAACATTTACTATTTCCTTAAGGAAATCACCATACTGTAGTGATGGTTTTGGCTGGTAACTGACATCTCTTAAGTCTTATACTTAAGTATTCTAGAATCAAGATTAATATAACTACACAGTTAAAATAAAGGTCGTATTCCAAACTATTTTCAAAGTGAATTCATTCCTTTGGTTCAAAGGGAAAAAAAATTATTTTCTTTTAAAATCTAGTATTTGTATAGCCAGTGGAATTAGACAAATTCTATAAACTGTAAATCGGGCATAGTTAGCTATAAAATTATGTTACATGAGGAAATTATAGAGCTATGTCTTCTATGTTGTTTGGCATTTAGAAGACAGACCAAAAATGCTTGTTGGATGAATGAAAGTAATTATTTTGGAAAATTAGGAATCGCAGAATGTTAGAAGTCACCCAGACATCCATTAGACACTCTCCCTCCACTCCCCTAATTTTACAGATAAGGAAAGCCTTTGATCCTTATGGACATGCTGATTGAGTTTAATCTTTAACTCCCCTGCTGGAAACAATCAAGCATTTTGGTTTGTGTTTTGATTAAATAGTATAAATGAGGAATAATGTTTCTGCATTGTTTCTCTTTTAAAAGACACTGTACTTTTCTTTAGAATTAATGCAGTAATTTCTGCTACTCAGACTGGATTTTAAAAGAAGATGCTTTAGGCAGAAAAGGGTTGCTGTGAGAGGCAGTCAGCTTCCTTAAACACAGGGAGTGTTTAAACCACTACGTGGATTATTAGAATTTCTTTCCTGAGATGGTCTTATATTCTGAAGTCTTTCCCCCAGTTCTAAATTGCATATTATGTCATTGTTTAAGCTATTAATGGGTTATTATAAAAAGTTTCAAAGTAATTTTCAGAAACTGCCTTAATTAAAATCTGAAAGAAACTAAATCAACTCAGCAGCCATGTTATATTCTAAATTCCTTTAGGAATGAAAATGTTTTTCAACTGCTTACAACATCCTGCCTTTCTCCTGACACTTCTTCTAGCCCCATCCACCTATTCCCACTGCGTCAGTATTTCTGTAGAACGTGCACTGCTGTGTTTTCCTGCCTGCATAAACACCACTGCCAAGTTCAACAAAAGAAGTGACTAAAAAGCAAACAGAACTCATATTTCTTACACTGCCAAATTTCCTTTAAGCTTTGGGCATATAACAGACTACAGGGTTGTACTAATGATTATAACTCAGCTTTTAATGAATTATACAAATGTACTCCTCTATGTTTTAAATGCTTATATTTAGATATCTGAATCCTCCTGAATGTTATTTTATATTTATAGCCAACAATAAAAATATTTATTAAAAATGTTCAAAGTATAAAACAGTAATTATAAGTTAGCAAATACCCAATAAAAAAAGCAGTTATTTCTTTTTCCTTATACAGTATCAGCAATAGTAATTTGGATATTACTATCCACTTTCAGCCACCACACTGTCCTAGATTGACTCATTGAGACAAATTTTCAGCTTGTGTTGTTGGAGTGAAACTTATAATGTATATCAATAAACAACTCTAACAATGGAACTCAGGTATCAAAAACTACATGCATTAAACATGTGATTTTAAGCTTGTATTATGGCATCTTGTAAAAGGTTTAAGTATTATTTCCAAAGGAAAATGTGGTTGCTTACATAGCCGTAAGTTAGCGCTGCAACGGACATGAGATAAGGCATCTTCCTGCTCTGGAGCAGTGTTTCTGCAGACACAGCGACCTGCACAAAGGCTTCCTTTTGTAAAAAAAATATATCTTCTATTATACTTTATTTCATTCCACTGATCATTTTCTTCCAAATAAAACTGAAAGTATCAGTTCATATGTATTTCTATAAACCTATAAAAAAAAAAAAAAGCAGCAGCTGAGTTACTGGTTAATACTTGAATTCATATTTCTGAATGTAAGGTTAGTAAATTGCTCTGTGGGCAAAGGTGTAATGCTGGTAAGAGGACATAAACACTTTACTACTACAAATATTACAATGAAGATTTCTGTAAGCAGTAAATAAGGGGACAACAGTGACCTTCTTCCCTTGGAACAACCAAAACAGCATTTGAGGTGCTGGATCATTACAGCTCTCCCGTTACCTTGGGTGTCAGTTGAGGAGACATATGAAAAGTGCTTGCTCTAAGTCTGCCAAGCATCCCCAGCATCAGCCATTAAATGCTCCCTTGGCAAGGCCCTTGTCTAGGAAGCCCTGGCTCTCTGCAGCTGCACCATCAGGTCATAACATGCTACCTGTGCCCCTGCCCCTGCTCTTCAGACCGCAGCCTGTTCTGCCCAGCGGGAGCCTGGAATGTGCATTAGATTCTATCTAGGTCTCAGGCTCTGGCTGTATCTCTGGACATGGGCCTTAGGTCCTTTTTGAGGAAATGAATCCTGCCAACAAACAGCTGAGCAAAGTAGCACATGCTTCCCTAGTTGAAAAAGTGACCTCCTGACCCACAGAAACAGAGATTAATAGATGCATGCTGTCTTAAGCCAACAAGAAAGTTTGTGGTAATTTGTTAAGAAGCAACAGATAAGAAATGCTGCCAAACTTAGTAGGCTGTCAAACTGTAATAGCTGGGAGAGATACTTTAGACCTTCTGGCTTGGCTCCTGCCTTACTTTAAAAGAGACAGTTGTCCTCTTGAGATAGTTGTCCTCGTAAGCTTGAAGCTCTGAAGAGAGAGCTCACTACATCCCACACAGTTCAATTTGAGTGTCAAACATGACGTTCACTGTGGTGAACTTGCTCATAAATTACTTGTATTCTCTGGGATGTCTTTTATTACTATTTAAAATGATGTCCTCTGACTTGTTTCTAAGCACACAGCACCTGGCCAGAGTAAAGTGCTAATTTGCTCTTATCTTTTACACACTAAACAACATCAACAAACTTCTTAAGGTTTTTTCTTTTTTTTTTCAGCCTTCAATTTCAGTCACTCTACTGTGGATCAAATTTCTTCAATAACGGGCAAAAGTCACTTTTTCTTCTTAAACCAATTAACAAAGCAGTCCAAACTGAAGAAAGGTCAGCTGCCCATGTACCAACTCTAAGCAGTTTTTGATAGTTCCTTCACTATTCTACCAACCAGTATTCACTAAGATTGTGCTAGGAATGGTAAGAAAAATGAGACACAAGGAGATATTGATCTGCCTTCAGTCTCTCCTTAACTGCCTAGTTTGCTGATACAACTGAACAGGGTAAAAGGAAAAAAGAATCAAATTGTTTGAAAAGATTATACATATGCCCATAAACTGCATTGGTTCAAGAAAAGTACCTTTATACTGTCTTACCTTATTCTTATTCAAATGGTTAGTTACGAACAAGTGGTACTCAATTTTCTATTGCCACTGTAACATGGTTATCTGTCCCTGTAAGCACATAATTAAATATATACATGATATGCAAAAAAAAAAAAAAAAAAAAAACCATTAAGTTTTGTGTTAAATGCTAACATTTATGATTACAGCAAAAGCACTATTATGTAGCACTAATAAGGCTCATGCTTGCCAGTTATTTGCCTTCTTGTAGAACTCAAAAGTAAGTTAAGTAGCTTTAGTAATCAAAAGTCTGCTTGTCCTGGTGAAAATGCCCACTAGCTTTAAAGACATTAGGCAGCAATGATTCTAAAGTTCATGAATGATTTTTTTCTCTTAATCTTACACAAGGGAATGAAAGATCCTAATGAAGATCTTAATGGAATCAATTTAAGAGAATGTTTCAAATGCTTCTAAAAGAAAGAAAAAGACATAAATGAAAGCAAGAAAAGATCAGAAATTCTCTCAGCAAGTTCTAGGGTAGTTTCTGGAGTTGGTACAACCTGATCTGAATCCCAAACCTTTTTAAACAGTGCAAAATGATGATGGCAATGTTATATACCACAGCTCCTTTTAATCTGTAATAAAATATCTGGTAAGTGGCCAGACTCTATCGTAAACTGAGACCTGATTCAGAAGCCCTCTTCTGTCTTATCAACTATTTATTCTATACTGCACCCCCTACTCATGAAGTGATCAAAAGTCATCAAGAAAAGATTTAAATATATTCACTGCATTTTCTTTTTAAATTAAGGCAGCAAAGAGTATAATGCTTTCCAAAAATAATTTCCAACTAAAGAATCCTAAATAATCATCTTGTTCAAAATGTAATGCACAATACACAATGCCAAAAAACTTTCCAGTATCTGAGGTAGAATGTACCCCCCCCCGCACCCCCTCCCCGCTGGTGAACAAAACAAAGAGCAGCAGCAGCCACTACACCTTCTCATGTAAACCCCTCCTTGACGAAAGCGACCAATAAACATTAACATCCCAGAAATGCAGAATATCCCATTATTTTCATTTTTCCGTGTTACTACATCTGGTGATTTTTCATTTTAACCAGATGAAGCAATGTTGTCAGATGAGAGATATTACCTGATCTGATGCCTTCTTCAGATCCAGTCTCTGTCCATTGAGATTCACTGTCCAACAATCGGTTTTTTGATTCACTAAGTGGCTTGATAGGAAAGGGCTGATTTGATCCAATACTGAAAAGAGGAGCAAATTGTTTTGTATATGGCTTAATGCTCGATTAAAGATACTTAAATAAATTAATAAGCAGCAAATTAGTATTCTTTCTCCTAAATGTGTGAGGGCAACTCAAGGGATCTTAGCACTCTGAAAAAAAATTCTATCTTCAAAAGAAAAATACCCCCCACCCCCAACTAACTGGCTTTCTTGATCCAAGAATCTGTATTCCAACAATGCCAATGAGCACAATTAGACAAAAGAAAAAACAGCTTGAGGCCAGGCTGCAATGCTTTTACCATGTTAATCAAGAGCCATGGGTAGAACAAGGACAGGTGAGGATCTATGTCTGTGGCCAGTACAAAAAAATTACCTGTCATTTCCCAAGTTTTCTGCTTTCTACCTCTGCAGTTTAGATCTAAGGGGAAAAAATGATTCAGTGATTTAGTGTCGACTGATTTTGCTAGCTAAGAGATCCAGGGAGGGAGGGAACAGAGGAAGGAAAGGAGGAGAAAAAGGGAACTAGTCTTTGCTGTGAATTTATTAAGGGCCAGACAAGCACACCACGTGCCTTCTCCATTCTCTTGACCCCACAGTAGCCCTTGGAGGTGAGTATGATCAATTCATGTCACAGAGGTGGAAACTGAGGCTCAGAGGGTTTAAGTGACTTGTTCAGAATCCTAAGAAATGTTAACGTTTTAAGATTTTAGGCTTTTAGGTTCTAAGGCCTCTGCTCTTCCCATATTCTGATACTAGCTTGGAATTCCTAATCCTTTCTCCCCCACCATTTGTTTATGTGATAAATAATTTCAACTTAACTCGGACAGAAGTATCTCTAGTTTCTGTTAAGTTTCATTTCAAATGACCTAATTTTCAGAATTTGTGAAAGTCCGTTTGCCATGAAAGTACTACAAAAAATTTCCTCTAAGATAAATTAAAGAGAAAAATATTTTAAGTGTATTTTTGAACTCTCATTAATAGTATTTTGACACTGCAGTTAAAATCTGTTTATCAAACTAAAATGTGAAGTGATAAACTGACTAATTTCTTAGAAAAAAAATCCTGATATAAATCAATAAAATCAATGCCTGAAGAAAGCCTTGGTTTCTAAGGTGCTGCACTGCTATTTCTATGCGTCTTTTTGGTTTAACTCTTTATTAATAGCAAAGTATTCACTTTCCTATTCTCAAATGTGTTCTGGTTTGGAACACAAAATACAAGTACATACACACTTTTCACAAAACTGAAAGAGCATTTCTCTGAATTTATGCTGGCTTACTGGGTTACTACTGTACTTTTTACACTAATATGTACATATAACTCATGTACATAGCTTGCTTTATAGCAAATCAGGAGAATACTCAAAGACTTGATGATGAGAAGCGTACCTTCTGGCATATTCATTTTGGCTTGTAACAGAAGCTTGTTCTGGATCCATCCCCACAAGACGAGTTGGAAAACTGCAACCATCACCCAAGCTGCATAATGAAAAACAGCAGTAATACAGAATTTAAATCATATTAAGTTGACTCAAATGACTGTCATTTCAGGGAATAATTCCTAAGACTTCTAATTTAGAGAGTTATTTGCCTCCACTGAAAAAATAAGCTTCCTTCTTTTATAATCTTCTTTAGGTGGCAAAAGCTTCTTGCAGGGGCAGGAGAAGGCTTTTCTTGGGTTACAATGATTTATAAAAATATTTAGAAACAATGTTTTATATGTTACTTTTAAAATTATGATGCCCAGTATAGCACACCGAATACAAGTAGTCATGTATTTATAGAACTGAATCATAACCGCTGGGAGTGATATTCAAGATAAAAGGTCACATATTTATTGATTCAATAAATAAATTTATTGACTGCTTATGATGTTTGAGGTACTATTTTAAGTAGCAGGGATACAGCAGTGAACAAGGGAAAAATCTCTTCCCTCAATCTCACAATCTAAAACCTGAATAATTATGACTTCCAGATTCCTCTAAGATGGAGGAATAGGCAAACAAGTGACACTGACCCTCTTCAACAAAGAAAAGAAAAAGCAATTGACAGACATACAGAATAATCCTGGAACCCTGAGCTTTGAAAGGAACTATACAGAAGTGGATTAGGCACCAACTAGTGGAAAAACCTGAACGAAAACAGTGAGTACAGAGACAGTCGGAGCTGTGGACTGTCAGCTACTCAGATGAGACCAAGAACCTGAATATTTCCAAGTGGTGTTGGGACCTGAGAATTGACCTACAGATCAGTCCCGGTCACCAAGGGCTGCAGGGACAACTGCTCTGGTGGCCTATGACTAGGAAGGGAAACAGCAAGGAGGGAGACAACCTGAGGTGTGGACTTTCTGCTGTCCGGAGGGTGCAGCCATTTTGATTGTTTACACATGGCAGCCATTTTGGGTATTTAAAGTGACCGAGGGTGTAGCCATTTTGAATGTTTCTAAGTGGCAACCATTTTGGATTTTAAAGTGATAGCATTCTCATTTGGATTCCAGGGACCTAAGAACAGGCTCTGTTTACCAGGTCGGCAAGGACATACGTGAGGCTGACAACAGGAAAGGAGACAGGTGGTGAGTGTGTAAGTGTTGTCAACTAGTGAATAGAGGAGCACAGCACAGTACCCTGCCTGTATACATAACATACAAAGAAAACAAAAACTGTGGTCAAGTCACTCCAACATATAATCACCAACGAAATATAAACACAAAAACATCACAATGCCTCAGAGACAACAGAGCATCACAGTCCACACAAAGAAGCAAGATAAAGCAGGAGAAACAAGGGACCAGGATACAGACCCAAAACACATCCCTGAGCAGCACTGTAACTCTCTGATAAGGAATTCAAAAGAAATATATTTAGGTATTTTCAAAGGATTGAGAGACAGACCAAGGAAAACACAGACAAAACCCTAGAAGAATTCTGGAAGAAAATACAAGAACAAAATGACAAAATAAATGAAAAATTAGAAATGATTCTAAATCTACAGATAGAAATCCAGAAGATTAATACTGAATGGTCAGAAACAGATACACATTGAAAGAGAAAAGGAGTAGAATCGATGCAATGGAAGACAGAATTAATGAGATTAAAGACAAATACCTGAATACTTCTTTGGAAAAGAATCAATAAGAAAAAAGATCAAAACAAAATGAAGAAAGTCTAAGGTTCATGTGGGAAACCATCAAAAGGAATAATCTATGTGTCACTGGAATTCCAGAACAGGAAGAGAAAAATAAAACCACTGAGAAAACTGTCCAAGATTTGTTGGAGGAGAACCTCCCTGATATGATGAAAGATGAGAATATATCCATTCAGGAAGTCCAACAAACCCCAAACAGGATAGACTCCAAAAGAAAAATACCAAGACATATCATCATCAAACTCACCAAAACCAAAGACAAAGAAAGAGTCATGAGAGCAGCACGGGAAAAACAAAAAGTTACCTACAAGGGGCAACCAATAAGGCTAAGCTAAGATTTCTCAACAGAAACCATGTGGGTAAGAAGACAGAACACTGAAAGAGAAAAATTTCCAACCAAGAATTATGTACCCAGCAAAACTGTCCCTCAAATATGATGGTGAAATTAGGACATTTCCAGATAAGCAGAAATTAAGGGAATTTGTTAAAACCAGACCAACCTTACAAAAGATGCTGAAGGGAGCCTTTCGGACAGAGAAGCAACAACAACTGACCATTAACACACATGATGACATAACCCAGAAACCAACCCAGCTATGGAAGTATCCAAAGTAAATAAGCTTACAAGATTGTAAACAGGGAATCAGAGACACCAACCGACAAATGAGGACAACTACAAACAAAAAAGAGGGAAAAATATCTGTGTCGTTACAGAACTTCTAGATGGTAAGGAAGTCAAGCCAATTACAAGATAGAACAGACTGTTCCACACTTGGGAAGAAAACTATAAATCAGAGCAACCTCAAAGAAAAATGATAAACCTTCACATCAAAATAAAAAATAGGACCAGCATAAATATTCAGCAAATACTAAAACAATAGCAATGAAGGAAGTGATAACATGATTCACAAACAAAATGAGCTCAGCATAGAAAATTACATGGAACAAAGAAACCGACATAATGAAAAAGCACATGACAAAAATGACAGCAACAAATTCATATTTGCTGATAATTACATATCTGGCAAGGGACTTATCTCTAAGATTGATGGAAAACTCCCAACCCCTCAACATCAAAGGAATTAACAGTCCAATTGAAAAATGGGCAGAAGACATTAATAGACACTCCACCAAGGAGCATATTCAGGTGGTCAGCTAATACATGAAAAGATGCTCACAATCATTGGCCAACAGAGGGATGTAAATCAAAACAACAATGAGATATACTGTCTCACCAGCACTGATGGCAAGGTTAAATGAGACAGAAAATAACAAATGCTGGTGGGCATGTGGAGAGATTGACTCTCATACACTGCTGGTGGGACTATGAAGTGCCACAACCACTGTGGAAAGCAAAATGGCGATTCCTTAGAAAGTTGGAATTGGAGATACCAGTTGTGCACTTAAGTCTTATGGTGAATACTAAGCTGCACATATGAATCCAGGCTAAAAACAGCTAGGAACTTTAAGTTACAATTCCCAGAGCTCCCAAAGAACTAGGGGCATTCAAATTGGACCAGCATGCATGGAGAGATCTCACTGAACATTCGTGTTTGATGCCAGTAGGCTCTCCCCTTAGCTGTGGATCTAGAAAAAGGCTGCCCTGCCCTAGCACCAACCTAATAAAGCTCAAAATGAGCCTCAAAAGGACGATGCTGAACATGAGGAACTGAATTGCCTGAAAAACTGCATTCAACACTCTCTAAAGGAAGACAATAAAATCCAGAATATGCAGCAAACTAACACCCAAAATGTCCAGCATCTAATAAAAAATTACTAGATATGCAAAGCAGTAAGAAAATGTGACTAGGAGAAAATCAGTCAATAAAAAACCCAGAAATGACAGTGAAAATTAGCAAACAAAGACTTTAAAAGGGTGATTAAAAGTATGTCCATGAATATTTATATGAATATAATGGAGAGAGAAACAGAGGTATAAATTGAACTTCTAGAGCTAAAAAATATCTGGGGGCGGGGGGAAGCATGGGATGGGCTTACTATATTAGACTTTGTAGAAGATCAGTGAACCTGTGAAAATACAGCAATAGAAACTATCTAACCTGAAGCAGACAAAAAAAGAGTAACAACGACTTGTGGGTCACTATCAAGCCGTCTAACATATGTATGTGTACTTGAGAGTTCCAGAAAAGCTGGGGTTAAGGGAAGAGAAAAGGGAAAGAAAAAGGAGAAAGGGAAGAAGCAAGCAGAAAGGGGGTGGGGGAGATCAACATATAATGGATACAAATTACGCAACTATCCAAAACTATAAACTCACAGATCCAAGAAATCTAATGAAACCCAGGTAAAATGTGCACAAAGAAAACCACACAAATGGATATCATAAACTATTTTAATACCGTGATAGCCAGAGGGGAAAAAAGACAAATTACAAATAATGGAATAAAGAATGATGTTGACTTCATGTCATAAAGTGAAAAAAATAATGTAGCTACTTGCCTATCTATTTATGTGAATAATGTCTTTAAAGAAAGGGCAAAAAAACACAACAAAAAACCATTCGAAACCTATCAAACTTCAAATTCTATGCTTAGGGAAAATACCTTAAGGAAAGAGTCTGCTTTCCAACCAAAGTGGAAACACCTTGTAATACATGGGCATTGGCTATAGTACACAGAAGGGTTATAGCAGTAAGATGTATCCTAAATGAAGCACAGAGAAAAGGCAACAACAACAACAAAAAAATGCACCAGTGAGCTATGGGAGCGCTTCCACAACCAAACCAGTTGCTATTGAATTCTTATCTCATGGACTCTAGATGTTCTGCAGCCATGGAGTGTGGAAGAACCCCAGAAACTACTGCCCTGAGACAATCTTTAAATCTTAAACCAAAAGAATCCCCTGAAGTCTTCTCAAAACCAAACAATAGTTTAGCTTAACTATCAATTAAAAAAAGTCTGCCTTGAGCACTGCACTCTTCTATGAACTGTCTAGATGGCACCAAACTGACAATAGCAACTTGCAAGATTAGCTAAGACCCTCAGAGGCAGTGACTTTATGTTAATGGGGGAGGAACAACTCAGAAAGGAGGGTGAGAATGGCTGCAAAGCTCAAGGAGTGTCATCAACCTCACTGAACTGTCCCTGCAGAAACTGCTGAATGGGTGTATGTATTGCTGAGTATATTCTCAACAGCAACAACAAAATAAATAAAATTTGGAAGAAGAAAAAGAAGATTAATTCAAACCAGTTGCTGTTGAGTTGATTTTGACTCATGGTGACTACATGAATGTTGGAGTAAAATTGTGCTCCATAGTTTTTCAACGGCTGATTTGGGGAAGTACACTGTCAGGGATTTCTTCGGAGGTGCCTTTCAGC